CCTCACAACTTCTCTTCACCCCTTACCACAATAAAATCTACTGCAAAAAAATGCCATCAAGACAGGTTAGAAGTTTCATATTGCCGGGGAAGAAACTTTTATGTATTCGTTCGTTTTTTTTTAAGGTAATAAGTAAAAATATTAAGCATTGTGTGCAGAAGGTTAAGGGTATGCCCTAGTCGACTACACAAAGTAAAATTACGTTTGAATAAAATCAGAAAAATATATATTTCAAGTGAATTCGAACTTAAGGTGCAAAAGCATTTAAAGTAATGTGAACGCCTTTTAGAAATAAGATCATCTCTGTACAAAGAGGAATTTTCCTGGTCCATTCTCACATATTTCTGGAAACTCAGTTTTTTTGCTTTCGAAGCTTTTGCATAACATCCAAGAAGTTGCTAACAACCTGCTTAATGTCGGGCCTGTTGTCATCGATAACCAATTGTTTCTCACAACGCGTATATACATTTTGCAAAATTCCACCACTCTGATAATATTTTATTATTTTCTCGCGTTTGGACCAGTTCACGAGCGTTTCACGTCTCATTGGCTCGTAAATACGATAAACATTGTAGAACATATCCAGGCTCTGCGACCTTTTGCGCACCTCCTCCTCATCAATGTTGGGTATGCGCAGATTTGGCTGGCGTACCATGTGATAGGGGTCGTGATCTGTAGAAAAATTGGAATAGCGAACCGAAGGCCAGTCCAACGAGAGGAGCGTGTTATACAACAGCCTTGGATGACCCAAGAGGCCGTGTGCCACATCGATCAATCGCAACTGTGGCCCGGGCACCATATACTCAAGCTCGAGCTCGGCAATGCGGGGATCCGAGCCACGATATTTGCGCACACCAATCCATAGGATAGGCATATTCTCATTGGCAATATTTTTGAGCTCTTGAATTAATGGTGAGGTCTGATTCTGATAGTTGACCAACTTATTGTTGCGTCCATAGAGCAAACCTCGCTCTGCGGGTGAGAACTTCAGATACTCCTGCCGATTCAATATGAAATGTTCAGATCGAAAAAGTCTGTTCATTTCCATCTCAATTACGTAGTAAGCCCTCCTGTGCATCGTGATCCAAATGATCTGAGTGGCGACAGCAAGAAACTGCTCGTGGAAAAATCGGTCCTTGATCGTCGAAGATATTCTGACGATTTCTTTCGTGTGGTAATATTTTTTTAAATCACCTTCACCCGTTATGATTGTGCTGTAATCTCGTGCCACTAGAATGCGATACTGGCTCAAGTAGGAAGACCATATTCTCTTAATATCGTTTGTCTGCTCACATTGCATCTGAGCCTTATCGCCAGCTATCTCATCCCGACGGATCAGCACAAATTCTACCAAACGCAGAAAATATTCAAAGTAGATAATTAAACCATGCAATAGTCTATGAACTAAAGGGTGGTGCATAAATTCAATAAACTTAATGTGCAAAAACTCTTTCGGCATTAAAAAGAATACCAAATCGCGAACATCGTTGATCAGCACCGTGTCCGCGTCGAAAGAGGTATCGGGGCGGACAAACACCTGTCGAAAGATCGTTTCTTCCTCTTGATTAAGCGTACGAAGAAACTTGTATCCATTTGTATTAATGTAGCGTTCATTTGTGTCCTCCGAATCGAAATATTGCTCAAAGTGCAATGATTCATGTTTCTTGTCCCAGGACCATTTGCCACTTTGGTACTTCGGAGCTGAGCTACCAACGTGTATGCGCTTCATCATAGACAATTATAATAATCACGAATATATAGTATATATGATACAATATTATAGGTGCGTATTGTTTAAGGTTTTTGCTTGTTTGTTTCTCTGTTTGGTGATATGTTTTGGAGATATTATTGTTGTAGATTGACACTACAGGCAAGTTAACTTCGACTCTAGATTGTACAGACTTTCGTCAATTCCAACGAATAAATAAACTCAGGAACCGAGGTCGAAGGAACAAATTACCATACCTAATCGGTTTATTATACAGCTAGCGGGTATTACCCGGCCTTGGCCGTGCTAAGTTTTCTGCTATAAAATTTACATATATTCAAACGAATTCATCAGCCAAATTGTGGCTGTGATTCATTAAGGTATTTTTTAGCGCTTTGAATGTAAGTGCGATTGAGCGAAATTTGAAGCTGCCCCAAAAATCATTTTCCATCGAAGAGGCCTGAATTTTGCAAAAAGTTTCAAACGCGTTTCAAATGAATTAATCCCTATTTCCATCAAGTAGGAATGGATTTTCCAAAGTCTGAGACTCCCGGCCCTCAAATGTTTGCACAAAGCTATTTGAAGACAATTTTTATGCCGATCGCATGGTTAATAAAAAGTTTCTTCTCTCGAGATGAATCCACAATTGCCAATCAGGACAAGTAGTTTTATATATATAGAGAAAAACATAAACATAACAATAACCAACACACATCGTATTTGTAAATAAATAACTATGCTAGTTCATTATAGTCAAATGGATGTACTATATACACCTCCATTCGCAGCGAATCGATGCCGCAAAATTACTGCAGGTCCACAATTTATAGAAACACGTATACATTGAGTTCCTATGTTGGGCCTTTTATATAAGATTGGACAATTCTTTATATCTCATCGATAGGATGATTCCTAAACTTAGCTTAAATGCGTTGGATTATTTAAGAAAATACAAAAGTTTTAGATTCACCATAAGAATTTAATTTAGTTTTGTGTTAGAGCTAGGTTTATTAAGTTCATACAGTTTCATAGGAAACATCGAAGCGAATTCGATCCCAAATCTTAAAATTGGAGTCAAAATTATATTGGAACAACTAAACGTCCTCTCCGTTCGTCTGGCTCTATGAAAAAATATTCGGCGCCAATTTTCACGTACTGTGAGTTAGAAGGACGAGTCGCTTCCGCGGTGGTCGCGTCGCCCATAAGTGGGATTTTCTTTTTACGTAGCCTGGCCATCATATCCAAGAAATCGGAAACAATCTCAGATACTTCAGGTCTATCTTCATCGTCTTCCAATTGCTTCTCGCAACGCATAGTAATATTGCGTAAAACTCCGCCACTGAGATAGTATTTTTTTATCTTTTCCCGATTTGACCAATTAAGAAGGATATTGCGGCGGGCAGATTCATAGATGCGAAATACTTTGTAGTAGTGCTCCAGGTTCCGAGACATTTTACGCACCTCCGCCTCATCAATGTTGGGTATGCGCAGACTCGGCTGGCGTATAATGTAATAGGGGTCGTGCGCTGATGAAAAATTGTGATAGCGAACCGAAGGCCAGTCCAACGAGAGGAGCGTGTTATACAACAGTCTTGGATGACCCAAAATCCCGTGTGCTATATCGATCATTCGCAACTGTGGCCCGGGCACCATATACTCAAGCTCGAGCTCGGCAATGCGGGGATCCGAGCCACGATATTTGCGCTCACCTATCCATAGGATAGGCATGTCGTGGTCGGCAACATTTTTAAGCTCCTGAATCAACGGTGAGCTTTGGAATCGATAGTTGACCAACTTATTGTTACGTCCATAGAGCAAACTTTTTTCCGCTGGTGTAAAAGTCGGATATTCTTTTCGATTCAATATGAAATAGTCCGATCGAAAAAGCCGGTTCATTTCCATCTCAATTACGTAATAAGCCCTTCTGTGATTCGATATCCAAACGATTTGAGTGGCGACAGCCAAAAACTGCTCATGAAAATATCGGTCCTTGATCGTAGAAGATATATTGACGATTTCTTTCGTATGGTAATATTTTTTCATATCTCCTGCTCCCATTAAGATTGCGCAGTAATTTCTTGCCGTTAACATGCGATACTGACTCAAATAGGAAGACCATATTCGCTTCATTTCGTTCGTCTGCTCACTTTGCATCTGGGCCATGTTGCCAGCTATCTCATCCCGACGGATCAGCACAAATTCGACTAACCGCAAAAAATAATCAAAGTAAATAATAAGGGCATGCAACAGTCTATGGACTGAAGGCTTGTGCATAAATTCTATAAAGTTCATTGATAGAAATTGTTTTGGCATTAAAAAGAATACCAAATTGCGAACATCGTTGATCACAACCGTGTCCGGATCGTATGAGGTATTGGGCCGGACAAACACCTGTCGAAAGATCAATTCTTCCTCCTGATTGAGCGTACGAAGAAACTTGTATCCATTTGTATCAATGTAGCGTTCATTTGCGTCCTCCAAATCGAAATGTTGCTCAAAGTGCAATGATTCATGTTTCTTGTCCCAGGACCATTTGCCACTTTGGTACTTTGGAGCTGAGCTTTCAACGTGTATGCGTTTCATTGTGGACAATATGAATTATTTCGTATATGTTCGTATTATTAGTTTTAAGTTTTTGTCTGTTTGTTTCTGTATGTGGTAAAAGATTCTAGTGATATAATGTTTTTCGATTGAAACTTCATGCAAGTTAACTTTTTGTAGTGAAGTCTATTTCAATGCCAGACTAACCTGGTAATCTTAGCTTGGTCTAAACAACATAGTTAGAGCATATAGGCAGGCTAGAACGACAGCATAGCTGAACTTCCACAAGGATGCAATTCCACTGAGCTAGGAGAAGGAATAGCAATAAAAATGACTCTAAATAGAACCAGTGATAGCTGAGGAGAGAATTGGAGAGTCGAAGGGATGCTGTTAACAGTAGTGGTAGCCTCTTATCAAATCAATTTGGTTTTGAGAAACAAAAGTCAAGCATTGGTACAAGAAACTATCTTGTCAGTTATACAATCGGCAATATTCCATTGCAACGTATACTCTGGCTTCAATCCTTATATTGTTATATACAATGGGACACAAATCTTCTGTTGCCATCAAACTTCAGCAGCGGTCTTAAGTTTCCATCGCTATTTAAGAGAAAGAACTATCCTCAGTGTTGTTTTCCTGCATTTTCTTTTAGTTCCTTTTAACATCGCCCCTTAAATAAAATTAACACATTGGCCTATTATCAATAAACGATAAACGTCTAATCGATATATATAAATTTCTTAAATTCCAGCTGAATATTATGGAAAAGGCGAAAGCGTACATTAAAAATGAACTCCGTGGCAGCAGCGCGCCACTGCAATCCGAGCCAACAGCAATACCACAACCACAACTACAAACACTGCCGCAGGGGCACAATCAGCACGTGGCCGCTTCGGAGCTGATGCCGTCGCCGGTTGGAGGCTATCATATGCAGCAATACTACAATACAGGGCCTGTCAAGTCGACGGGCCGTGCCTCGGCGCCGCCGGAGCACATGACCGCGTCCGTTTGCTTTGTATGTGGCGGGCATGGCAGCTACGAGGCGTTGCGCGTGCGCGCCAATCCGGAGCGGCCGAGCGAGGCACACTTTCCGTTTCTGGAGCGGCATGAGCCGCCCCAGGGCGTGCCGGCGGTGACAGCCAATCAGATGTACGTGATGGCATGCATGCTGTGCTTCCGCTCACTGCACGAGCAGTGGGAGGCGTACGAACGTCAGAAAAAGCCGCTGCTGCAGCGCATTTATCACATGAAGCGAGTCGATGGCAAGGGCTACATTGGGGCAGACGTGGCCACCCAGAGTGAGTATGCGGCCCAAATGCTGGGCCTCAGTGCCGAGCATCTCAGCCAGAACGGACTCGCTGAGCTGCACAGCGCCGCCGCTGCGCCACCACTGGATCCATATGCCCTGAGCAGGCATTACTCGGTGGGCGCACCATCCGTTGCCTCGCCCCAGCAGCTGCAGCACCATAGTACCTCAAGGAACGCCTCGCCGGATTACTATCCTCGCAACGCTACGCCCACTAGCCACAGTCAGGGCTACAGTAACCACAAATACCTGAGCCGGCCGCAGTCGCGGGATATGCAGCTACCATCCCCGTTGTCGCGTCCGCCCAGCGAGCCGCCTGCTCGCACTTCGCTTGGCCCCAGCTCCAACTTTGCACAGCACAAGTTTAAGCTGGGTCAGCACAACTATCAGCCACCACCGCCCCAGTCGCCGGCACAGTACCAGCCCGCGCAGTACCAACAGCTGCAGCAGCAAACGGCCGCCTATCACATGCTGCAGCAAGTGGCCGCAGTCTCGGGTGAGCCTCAGTCCCACTATAAGGGGAATCCATACAGTGGCCTGCCCAGCCTAGGTGGCATGGGTACGCCAATGCCGCTGACTACGCAGCCGCCCAGCCTGGAGGATGATAATGCCACGGTCCTAGATCTGCGCAATTCGTCCAATGTGAATGTAACGCCAACAGCGACGCCCACTCCTGTGACCACGCCCACGTCGCGTAGTCAGCCGGGCAGCTCTTCCTCCTCGGCCGAGGTGGGCATACTGGATCTGTCCATGCCGGATAAGAACTCCATCACGGAGGTCTGCTATGTGTGCGGCGATGAGCAACGTCGCGGCAGCCTAGTCGAGCTAAGCACCGTCAAGCCAAAGGAGTTTAGGCTCGGTCAGCCGGTGGCCTACTTTCCGCTTTTCAACGAGCAGCATCCGCGCCCCGCCCGCTCTCGCCCGAAGGATCCCCGTGGCATGATTCAGGCCTGCATGCCCTGCTACGAGGATCTCATACAGCAGTGGAACGCTCATCAGGTAAGCCCCATTCGAAATTATTAACTGTTAATATGCGATTTATATCTAAAGAATATCCTTCTGAACGGGCATTTTTATTGCCAAGGTTATGCATGTGATTTATGTATATAGAATTCGTATTGTCCCAAGAGCTGGAAAAGATTTAGATCTGGGTAGATACAATTTAAAATTTCCCTAGGAGGCACACTTATGGGTTTTATATATTTTTGGTTTCACTTCCTACAGGGTATGTTAATTTTATCAAGAAGTGTGAAGCGCGTGAAATCACCATCAACAGCCGAAATGTTGAATAGGTCAGACAGTAAAATATATCATATATGCTGCTTGTATATCAGCCAACTCTTATAAAGATTGCATTACAATATTATGTATGTCTATAGGAAGAATCATTCTCCAAATGTCAAGTCAAGTGCATAAAAGAAATCACATTATCAACGCGGATGATGTGTTCAAATTTACTGGGTATCTGCTAGTCGACTCACACACGTATAAATGTATGAGTAACTCGTAAATGTTTTAATATCATTCAACTGCATATAAATAATGCTAAGTAGATTACGACAACAAAATTTATATGAATTAAATATCAAATAGGTATATGAACATCTGTGTGGATTGGGTGGTGCACTGGCTGTTGGGGCTAGGTGGGGTAGCTCAGCTCGTTGGCGACTAAACGTGAAAAAAAGAGAGAGATAAACATTTGGGCAACAACATTTACGAGAAACGTTTTCGCGTCACTCGAATCAAAATAAACAAATTGTTGCCGCCGCGAAGATGAGGATGTGGATGAGTGTAAACTGTGCTGATGGTGATGATGATGATGGGATGCTGGGGATGGCTGGGGATGGCGCCGCGTAGTGACCCCGGGTGCTGTGCCAATCCGCAGACTATTAATCAGTGGGGTCGACATTGGAGACGGCCACAGAGCTGGTCCCGGCGATAGAGTCCGAGAGAGAATTATCATTGCCGCCACATGACTGCGTCTCTGGTGGGAATTTTGACCGCAGGGTCGGCTTGTGTTTCTGATTAAATTTTAATAGCTTTCCGCGATTATTTGCCTTTTTATTTTCAGTATCTGTGTGTGTGTGCTTTATTTTGCTGTTATTTCTGTGTATTAAATGTATTTTTGGTGCTTCGTTTGGAAAAAAAAAAAAAAAAACAAAAACACATCCAGACGCGATGAAATAGAAAAGAAGAGCACTGCAATTTCAAATTAGATTTTGTTAGTTATATTTTTAGAACTTACTCGAGCATTTTAATAATGATTCACCAAGCCGAAAGCTTAAATATCATTCATATTCTAATTAACAATCTTTATTTAAATTTGTGTGCAAATTTGAGGAACAAATTCTATGACGAGAGAATATCAAGAATTTATCAATTAACAATGAAGATTATAAACACATCTAATGCCTTTTTTCTGTTTCTTAAAACGTGAAAATTAGTAAAAAATATTGATTAATTTCTTTTTATCGTCTGCTTGTATAAAATTGTGTCTTCTATTGAAGAATGAAGAACAACTATTTATACGATTTTTGAAGAGCTCATCACGGAACTCAAATACTTTGACTCCCAACTTTAGACTCTAGCGAATTCAAAGATATCAATAAATATGTATCTAACATAAACGTGGAGTTCTGAAAGTCTTAAACAGATATTTTACAACTTTGCAAATAAATTGTTACGGGCAAAGCAAGGAAAACTCTTGTATCTAGATCATCCTCAGTTTTAAAGAAAAACCCAAACCAATTAATGTGGATTAAATCAGGTTTAATTAAATGCTACTTTTTTGGTTTTCTCACAATTTGCGTTAAATGTATTTATTTTTTTATTACCCCGACGTGCGTATAATCCCAGGGGCTTTTCCCCTCCCGCCTGAATAGAACGAATTCCAGTTATCAGATCTCTATGTTGCCTTTCCCTCAATCTATTGGCATTTCATTTGAAATTTATATTCAAAGCGAAAAATTTGCAACATGCCATAAAAATGTAAAATTCAAACTGGGCGAACACAATGTGCAAAATGCCGGATAAATAATTAAATGCCATTAATTGGAATTGTGTAAATTTCAGAGACGCACACACGCACACACACACACAAATGCCCGAATAAAACAAACACAAAACACAACAAAAAAATGCGCATGAAATAATAAATAAATAAATGCAATAAAATTACAAATGCTGCAGTGCGGCGACTGCGATGGGACGGGACGGGCTAGTATAATGCCCGGCGCGCCGCAACGCCGGCCTATTCAGAGAAATGCAAAATGAATAAATAATCAAACATTGAAAATCAACGACGGGCCTGGCAACGAGACAAATTAATTAAATTTAACCCAGTAAAGCAGCGCAATTCAAACGCAAATTTTGGCGCCAAGCCAAACAAACCGACCCGCCAGTCAGACAGACAGCCCCTCCCCCTCCCCCCTGGCTGTTTATGGATGAAGCGTGTGGTGGGGGCCGGGGGTGGCGGGTTGGGTGCCTAGAGGGGGGCTCATCAATCGCATGACGTACGCAAATTTCCATACAGCTGGCAAGCGAAAAGTGCGAAAAAGCATTTAATTATTTATGCTCATCTTTAAAGAGTTCCGAGCAAAAAACCGAAACCAATTTAAACGCATTTAAATCGATTTCGATTCAGCGTCAAGGTTTTTTCTTTTTCTCTCGATGTTTTCTCGCCTAATTCAATTGTGAATAAATAAAATAACAGGGCAAAATTAAATGAATGAACGATTAGCTCGACTACAAGTTACCCTCTAGTCTGAGAAGAACATTCAAATAAGGATATGTACAATATCTGCACTAAATATACATAAATGAATATTTTTACTTAACTAACAGAATTTACAGTTTCTATTTTCACAATTTATCTTATGTTAATTACAGCAAAAGTAATAATTATTTATTTAAAATTTTCAATGATGTTTATTCAGAAATTATGGGGACTTTCGCGACTTGCTCTGACTTTATATTGATTGAAGTTTTGGTTAATTTAAAATAGAGGCTTTCACTAGTTATTAAAGCCGGGAAATGCCGGATAATTCTGTATTCTAGTATTCAACAACAACAACAAAAAATAGCAATTGCTTTAAAATTTTATATGTGCTTGTGTTTATAAATGCCATGGAAATATCATGGGCAATTTGTTCTCGAGCGATGTTTATGTTGGCTCGAATATTTTGTATTTATGTCTCGATTTGATTCACATGATATTAAACACAAGCCTGAAAATGCTCTCAATTCTTTTGCTTGCATTTCTTGCATTCATTTAGTAAAGCGCAAAAAATAATGGTTTCCAATTAATTAGCTTGCCGGCCTCTTGGTAAGTCATTTGTCAAGCCAATTGCATTTACTTGAAACTATTCTGAATAATAGAATAATGGCGAATTATGAGAATGACAACAATGAACCGCGATGTCTCTAGGCGTTCAGGAATTTTTGTCAGTTTGCCAAGGAGGCGAGGCGAAGAAGCGGATTGAACTGGTTAAGCAAATGAGCTAGAATATAAGACAATCAGCAGGCTAAGCGATACCCTGTAATAGAACTTAAAATTCACAAATTGGCATGTCATACATTCATTTGGGAAATATTTCCTAAATTGGCGTATACTTAATTTTACCGCGAGGTATGTGTAGAAGATGTGTCCAGTATCTGAGATAAGTGGAAACATGTGAATACATGTTTATATGTAAAAATAAATACATCTTTTTGTATATTATAAACAAAAGTTGTATCGCATCTTTCAATGTTTACCTGTCTATCTGTGTCTATGCCAACAGGTTTACCAGATGTTTTGTTTTTGTTCTAAATGGTAAACATATTTTATGTATTTCAGAGCCAGCCGGCACTGCGAGAAAATTGTGTTCTCTCAATTTCTTGAGTTATTTCGTTTCAAGCGAAACGAGAATTCGGAATACATTCGAAATCAATTGTATCTTGAATATAATTAATATTACAAAAGGAAAATTTGTTTAATTAATTAAGCCCATCTCACGATATGCAAAAATCGATGTCTTCTCTGGTAGAACAATCGAATGTAGACCTTAAACCGTAAAATTTGCATATAAATTTAAGCAGCAGATATTTTATAGATATATTTCATTATTTTTAGTTTATGTGAGAGATTTGTAAAGCAAAGCCTTAATCGCTAATAACATTTGACACGGCATAACACAATATTGTTCATTATAGAAAAGTATTAATTTGAAAGGCACATAAATAAGTAAAAGCTCAGCAAATCATAGCGCAAGGCACAAAATGTGTTATAGAAAAGATGGTAGAATAATACTTTTAGGAATATTTTATCTACTGATTGCAGAAATACTTTTAAGCCATTTTGACATGAAATGCAATCATCTTGCACATCCTGGCGAGATTAATAAATAGTACAGACTTTAACGACAAGGACATGAAGCAAGCTTAAAGTGAACTGGTTGGGCGGAACTAGTTCACTAAATGCACAAATGAACAGCTAGTTGAGAGTTCGATCAGCCTCAATCGCTTCGTTAGTATAAACTCTCTCTTGTATAGAAGCTGTCCCATACTACGAACTCCTTGCTCTCCGGCAGCGGCATAAACTCCAGCTGTTCACTGATATTGAGGCAGAGCTCAGAGCCGCCCGGTCGCAGGGGCTCCCACTGGGTTGGCTCTATTTGCGGGCAGTTGGGGTTGCCGGTCGTGGCGAATGAGGTCCACATGCCGATGAGTCGCTCTATGGTGCGGTACTCGGGCGAGGCTCTGTCCAGTTTGGTGGAAAGCAGCGTGTAGAACATGTAGGAGAGGTCATCCGCGTGGCACACGCCCCGCACATGTCGACCGCACTTCAGGGTGCGGTAGTGATTGTAGTGCGGTGAGTCCATGTCGAAGCGATACAAATAGGTGGGCGTGGCTGGCGCATAGGCAGCCCGGGCGAGCAGCGCACGATGAATGCCATGCCAGAAATTCTTCACGCTCAGCAGGCGCAAGCACTCGAACAGCTCCATTTTGGCACGGTCCGCATCATCGAAGTAGGCCAGCTTGAGGCGACGCAGCTGCTCGGCCAGCTCGTTGGCGTCGACAGCTTCGCGCACGGGTCGCGGTATAAGAGCCTCGAAGGCACTGAGCATGTGCTCCGGATCCTGCAGGGTTGTCTGATAGCTGAACAGGCCCTCGAAGGAGGTGCCGCCAATGATAAGTGGCAGCTCGTTGCCCCACGCGCTGGCCAGTTGCTCGAGATGCGGCCGCGGCACCACGCAGTCCTCGTCCACATATGTCTCCACGACCGGCCCGAAGGCAATTATCTCGTAATTTCGCTGCTCCTCCTGGGTGACAATCGCATTGCAGTACTGCGCTAGCTGGCTGCCAGATGCCGCTCTAAGAAACTTCAGCAGCTGCTTCTCATTGTCCGCCTCGCCCTTATAGCCCAGGCGACTGGCCAGCCGCTGGGCCCAGCCGCTGTCTGGCTGAGTGGCCCATTCGCACAGCGCGGACGCCGACTGCACAATGGCACGATGAAAGAGGCCGCGCGTCTGTTCCGTGTGCATGAGGATGTGTGCAGACGCGCCGCCAGCACTCTCGCCCATCAGCGTGATGTTGTCCGCGTCGCCATTGAAGCTGGCTATGTGTTCCCGCACCCAGCGCAGTGCCAGTACCTGATCCTTGAGGCCTGCATTGCCGGGTATCTGCAGCTCGCGATCTTTAAGGCTGAGAAAGCCAAGCGCGCCCACCCGATAATTAAAGGTGACCAGCAGTACTTCGTGCTTCATGAAGTAGTCCGGCCCGTAGATGTCCCGCACGGCACCGCCTATTTGAAAGCCGCCGCCATAGATCCAGACCATAACTGGCAGCGGACGTGGTGACTCCAGACGCTTCACGTACACGTTCACGAACAAACAGTCCTCCGATCCCTCCACCTTATTCGTTATAACGTTCTTCTGCATGGGCTGCGCTCGAGCGTAGGTGCAGTCCCTTACCCCCTGCCAGGGCTTGGCCGGCTGTGGCGCCCGGAACCGTAGCTCGCCAACCGGTGGCTGGCCAAAGGGTATGCCCTCAAAGGAATAGTAGGACTCCCCATCATAGAAGGTCTTGCGTTCCATGCCCTTCACCTTGCCACATTTCGTTTCCAGCACTTTTGTACGGCCGGTGCTCAGTCGATATTGCACTACCTTATGGCCAATGGCCCTAGAAAAAAGATTTAGATTTAGACTTCATACACTTCCTTTCACCCATTTCCCATTGTGGAATGTTCCCCGAATTCACAAACAAATTTTGAGCTATTATCTTGTGGATGTGTTTATATAGTTGTAGTTATATATACACACATACCAAAACTAATAAGTTTAATTTGTTTCTCTTGCATTGAAAATATGAATCATCCAATATTATTAGAAATATTGTGACCACAAAGGAATAACTAATTTCAAATGCGGTTTTTTTGTGCTACTCTTTAGTCGTTACAACCTTCATAGAATGACCAAAGTAAATTACGGGGAACTATAGAAATACTGTTATTCATATTCTGAAGAAACTTTGCCACTACAACTTTTAAATACTAGGAAACATGCCCTTATTGTGTGAGTGCTGTATTGAATATCCCCGTTCTATTCTGTACTTTGCTGAACTAGGGAATACCCTGAACCCAGCTTCAACCTGTTGTTACAAACATTATTTTGGAATTCTGTATTTTTTTTTTATTAATAGAGGAACTTTGTTTTGGTGTGTCTAGCTATTATAAGCTTTAAGCTATGCTTAAGAAACCCAGACTGAAAATCGATATTTATCGATATTATTGAAAAAGGCGAACAGCAAAATTATGAACTTCTGTTTCCTATGGTATACAAATGGATTTGCAATCTATAGTTTTAAATGGAGCAGGCGAATATTGCCAGACCGAGTGCGTTCATCGACCTGTACAAGAAAACATACATTTGTTGGGGTATGGAACTTCCTTTTGCTTGTTAAACACATTTGCTCACAGCCTCGGATATATTTTTAGAAATCTACACTTTATTTTTGCCATGTGCAAAAAAATGTGAATAAAGCAAAAACACTTGGCACGGGCAACGACGGACAACATCGGCAGTTGTTAATTACAATTTGACAAATCTCTTTTATTCCATTCCCTAATTTGAAATGCAAATAAAATATGTTTATGGATTCAGTGCGTTATAATCAGATTCGCCATATGTAATGGGCTCTACGATGGGGTGTTAAAGCTGGATTACCGAATACGGTATCTTATCTATATTCGAATACTCCAATAATAATTGAGCTGCGCCACATCAACTAAGCACTTCCATGGACAGATACTCATCTATTGTCTGATTAGTGATTGCCACAAAACTTTCGGACACGTCGCACTCTCCACTTACTTTGCGGCCAACTTGAATTTTTCGGATACACTCAGCCGTAGATCCATTTCTATATATATATATATATATACCCGTATGCGTCTGTATATGTATATATATATATATATTTGTTTATGCAAAAAATTCTTTATGCTCCGCAGCACTTCCAACGCGCTCAAACGCCGAACAGAAACTAAAATGTTTCCACTTTTGAATGCCCTCCTATGAGTGAATGATTAGATAAAATCGCGCCTAACAGCTGGCTACATAATATGTATATATTACATATTATTATTGCTGATTGTAAGTCGATTCAGTGTTTGATAACTAAATGAAGTTGTTTACAAACAGCATTCCAACGGTTAAAGGTCAAGTTGCACTCACTTTCATAGGAACTTTCTTTACAATACATTCGCATAACGGACAGATATAACGCCCTATTTATATATATATGTATATATATAAATTTGTACATATGTATTTATATATGTGCGAACGTAACGTTAAAGCAACAGGGTGGTTTCGCAGACACAATTAGGTCATCAAAACAGTTGAGACTCGAGGCGCCAGAGCCCATCAACAGGCATCGTCGTCATAATGGGCTCCAAAAGGCCTCCGAGGCGAACGCGCCTAAGCCGAATAAATACGTGTGTAGAATTCACTACATATTTACACTTATATAACAAACACATATATATTTTGTATGAATGTAACGATGCGATGAGTCATGGGCTCATTGAACCTGCTTTTCGCAGCTCCCTTTTAAAGAAAAATTGACACAAAGGTCAATTATCTCTGAAAACAACAAAGCATGCGGCCAGTCAGAAAGTTTAGTTAATCGAGTGAGAAGCAAGATTGACAATCCGTTTATGCAAAACAGGAACTACAATTTACAGAACTTTTTTCAATTACTTTTGGAAGCATGATAATAACTAGTTTGTAGACATCAATTTTTCACTCATATTCCACCCGTCAAAATTTAAAATGCCTCTGGTACAAGTTTTGCTTTTATGGTACGACATTTCCACCAATTTTCCGCGCGTGGAAAAAACCAATCTATATGTACTGTCTCCATCGGCACGTCTCAAATTGTTTCATGTAGATAGGCTGAAAATAAGTTTAAATTGGCTGAAACCTGAAACATCCATGGCGTTTATGGGCGAAGTTTCCTTTAGCCTGTTACATACGCTTGCACAAAACCAGTATACCCTCTATGCACGCTTTTAATGGGTTCGCTAGTTCTTAAATCTAACAAATGTAATTAGACGCTTTGCTTCTGAAGGTCGTTATATATATATTTTTTTATCACAACTGTACACATACTATTAGCCATTATGATCCAGCGATGCCCGGGCCATGTTTTTTTCATCAAATTTCAGACATTTCTTTTCACCCAATAATAGCCCTGGCAAGGCCAACTGAAATAGGCAAATATTTTCTTGGCATGCACGTGTCTTCTCCCCTTTGTTTGTTTTATTAAGTTAGGCAACTTGGACAATAAATATGCTTAGCCAAGCTCAGAGCTCGCATTAACTTTGGAAAAAGTATCTTCTTTATGTTGGATGTTCTTGACACTCATTTAAAAAAAAAATGAAAGATCAAAGTTCAAATGCTTTTAGAAAATGCGAACACATCATTTGCTATATTCGATTTTGCTGGCATTTTAGCATTGACTTTCCATTTGAGCTGGCGCAGTTTGTGTCCAGCTCCCTGCTCGCTGCTCCTTGCACTTGACTGGAATCGCCTGAAGTGTTACCGCTGGCATTGCCTTCAGAGACACTGGCAAAGACTTTGGCCAGATGTCTGTCCTTCCTTCTGGGCTGCCGGGGCAGGCTTGTTTGTTGTCGTCCGGGCAAGTGTTGACTGTCGAGCGTCGCCTTCTGCTTTTAGGTTGTGTGTTAGTTAATGTGATTATTTCACGCTTGGTCTGCTTCGAACTAACATTTCCTTTGGCTCCCTGCCTGCTCCCATTTGCTATTTCAGTCGGAGATGGAGTCGGAGTCGGATTCCGTACCTTATTTGTTTGCTTAGCTTTTGTTATCGTTTTTGTTCCGTATGCCTGTTTGTTCATTAAACAATTTACGCTTCTTCTTATCTTGGGTCTTCTGCGCTGTGTTTATTCTTCATGCATATATTTGCAGTTATAAATGTTAACATGCCTGCCTTTGGGCGGGGGAATGCTGCAGCAGTGCCAAATGAGAAAATTCAAATATTACTCATACGACACGTTGCCTTAACAGATGACTGTCCGCTCAAAAGTTCTGCAAATAAAAATTTTTTGTAGGAAACAAAATCTTCTAACCAAACTTGACATTTTCTACACTAAAAAATCTAATTTTATTCAGCTCTAGGATTATTTGATTAGAACAATTTTTGTTTCTCAAGATACTTTTATCAAAGTCAAACATTTGTCTGCCAGTGTAGTTAATCTTCGGCGAGCCCAAAATTGCCTCGCTCTGCTGTTTACATTTTTCAAAACCAAAATTGAATTAATTATGTTTACATAGTTTTGCCGATCAACTAACGTGAGCGCAAGTCTAAAGCAAACAGAATTATTTAGAAAATCTGCTCTTTGGTTCCGGTTAAATTTCGATTGTTCTTGAATCAATTTATCCCTTTTACTGGTCGGTTAATCAGAAATCAGCTCTTAAATTGGCCTGGTTGAAAACTTTACAAATTACTTGACAATAAATTGAGACTCAAATAATCACAAGATGTGCTTAATACGAAGATACAATTGAAAATAATGCAAAATCAGCCGAAAGTCGAACTTTTATTTAGAAATTCGCATTTGAAAAAGGCCATCCACTCTTAGTAATATTATTTTGAGAAAAAAGTAAAAAAAAATTGTTAACATAAAAAGGTTTTTTCTAACAAGGAGAAAACTTACAATATTATACATTGTATTCTAAGCATCCGAATTATTTTCTCTAAAAAGTACAAATTATTTTCTATAGTTTTTAAATTTTAGCTAATTAGCCAACAAATTTTTGCGCTCACACAAAAAAGTCTTCACAACCATATTTTTGTGAAATATGACTTTAAAAAAGACAAACTTTTCATTTCCACAAATTTCCGTTTTTATTTTTTTTTTCGTAAACAAACTCACCTGTGAAATGCCGAACGGCATTTAAGATGAAAGAGCCTCGTATTAAATTTAATTTTGCATTATCTACACCTGTCTGCCGTGGACCACAATGGGATGGCGCTGTCTGCCGCTCGTTGCCAGGTAAAAGGAACTCGTACTCTTAACCGCCTGTTACTCTGGCAGGGCCTGAGTGCGTCTGAGTACCCATCTTCTCCACGTGCCGGCTCAGCAGTGCTCAGTGCTTCGGTTGCCATAGCATTGGGCAGATTCCGTTGGGAGGATTCCGTTTTGTTGGCGTTGCCATCGACTAAATAAATAAATAAATGCACAATGCAATTTATTTATGCATGTTTGTTTGTTTGCCCGTTTATATGTATTTTTATTTGTACAATTGTGCATACATACATACATGTATTTGTTGTTGTTTGGCCCGTTTACCCTGCTTACATTGTTGTTGTTGTTGTTGTTGTTGTTGTTGTTGTTGATGTTGCTGCTTCAGTTGCCGGCGCCAATGCAACTGCAGACTGGCTACGCATCAACAAACAAATACACACAAACACACTCACACACACACGCACACACACAGGCAGAGTAACAATTGTGTCCTGATGCCATCATGAGCCTTGCCTCGACCTCCAAGTGCCAACGTTCCACATTTTCCTTCCCTTCCCGCTCGCTCGTTACGTTATCGTCATTGACTCCGTCGTCATCGTCGTCGTCGTCGTCGTCGTCTTCGCCTTCATCGTGTTTACATGGTTGCCGCCTACTGTTAAAGGTGACGACCCCTTGAAACGCAACCCCTTGCCCTGGCCCTGCATCTTTGTCTCGGTCGCTCCTTTGCTTGTCTGTTGTTGTTGTTTTTTTGCCTTTCTTGTTCTGGATGTTTGTTTGGCTTGCCTGCCCTTTTGTTTTGCTGACGTTAAGGGGCAGCGCGTGTACAAATTGTTTTTCCGAATGTCCAAATTTTCAGGGCTGGGCACATTGCGAAAATTGGTAATTGCTTCAAGCAACGGTTTCATATTTTAAATTCTATATGTACATTTAATATTTTTAAAATAAAGTAGTTTAACAGTATTAGTGAATCGAAAGAAAATCGAAAGTTCATGAACTTTTGTTGTTAAAGGTGGAAGCCAAAGAACTAGTTCATGCTAGTTCTCTAGCCAACGCACGCTCTGGTTCATTTGATGGCGCTTTTGTTGTGTGCTCTTTCGCTTTGGTGTTTTTGTTTTAGCATTCGCCGCTTCACTCGTTCTGTTTAGCTTCGGTTTCGTAGTTGCTGCCGACTCGTGCCGTGCTGCTGCTGCTGCTGCTGCTGCTGCCCACGACGGCTGCGACTGCGTTGTTTGTTTGCATTTGTGTTTTAGCTGCCTCCGCTTTGTTTTCTTTGCGCCCGCAGCACACAAAAACAACAAATAGTACGTACAAAAGCAACAACAGCAGCAGCAGCAGCAGCAGCAGCAACATCAACAGCTACATCTACAGCAACAACAATAACAATAACAGGGCTCCGACTCTATCAGCTTTTTAGCGCGACGTCGCAGTCAGTCAGTCGTCGTCGGTTGTCGGACGCAGGCGTAGGCATTCCAATTGGGACGCACGTTTCGAACTCGAATTCCCGTTCAATTTGTTTATTGGTTCGGTTCACTACGTTGTTTCATTTTGTGTGCGTGCGTGTGTGTGTGTGACGTTATCACGCACCAATTGCGGCAATCGCTTAATGGGCACTCACACTTTCTGCGAGTGCAAGTGTGTGTGTGTGTGTGCGTGTGTGTATAAAACAAAATTGATAAATGCACAGCGGCAATAAAGAAAAAAAAAAAATACAAAATAAATAAAAGCAGTTGCTGCACACATATAAATCTGTACGTATGTATGCATAAATCTGTATGTACACAAGCTCTGACATACATACGCTTATAAATGATTGAGTTGAGTGTGTTAATACATAAGCAAACAAAAGTCACGGCTGTCAATGCGGTTCAATGTCTTCGGCCTCCTCAGCGAGCAGAGCAGCAGGAACCCACTGAGTGTGACATCAACAACAACAACAGCAACAGCAACAACAACAACAAGAGCAACAGCCACATCGGCCGCAGTAATAATCGCAACGGTAGCCGGCATCGGTGGCAATGCCGCAAACTGGTTTAAGCCAAAACGAAAAGGAATACAATATCAATGGCAACAGCTAAAGACGCCGCGTCTGTTTAAGCATAGTTTTTTTTATTTTATTTATTTTTTTTTGCAATAATGATTCAGAATCAAATGTCATGCACACATATAGGGATGAGTGAAATGATCGTAAAAAAAAACATGATCATCGTGTGCACGTACAAAAGCGAATAAGCAGTGATTTTTAAAGTGCATTAAACAAAACTCATGTATGCATGTACAGCAATGAAATAACAAAATATTTATTGCATATCAACATAAGTATATCTATCTATCAGTTTTTGAACATAAATAAGTGATGCGAAAAGTAAACAACGATATTCATTTACGTGAATTCTCACACTCCCATCTCTAATGTCGCGAATAGCGACTGTTACTCTCATTAGAGTTCGTCCGGCCATTTTGCAGAGTTGAATTGCTTTAACCTCTCTGCGCGTTGGCCTTAGTAAGTGCGAGTGTGCGTGTGTGTGTGTGTGTGTGAGTGCTCGTGTATGTTTGTGTTTGTGAACTATGTCGTGTATGTCGTGTACGAAAGGCGCTTAAACAAGTGCGCGCAAGCCAAGTAATAATAACAAGAACAACTACCGTTTTGCGCGTTCAAAACACGCGGCGTCGTCGCCTCACTTACTTTATCGTTTATGTGTTTGTGTGTGTGTGTGTGTGTGTGTGTGTGCGACACGTTTGTGTTCGTGTACCGTTCTAAAAATAACCGTTTCATGTGCAGTCGCTGCTGCTTCGCAAGCGACAAAGTCGCAGTCGACGTCGACGTCGTCGTCGTCTTTCGTATTTGTATTTGTTATCGGTTATTTAACTTGATTTATTTGCGTGCGACTGTTGATTTATGTATGTCGCTCGAATGGGCCCACAGCAATAATAATAATAACAACAACAACAACAACAACAACAACAGCTTTCGACCAAGTCTCACGCACATTGTCACTTAAGTGGGTCAAACGATAATTGGCACGCCCTGCCCCTCGCCCTACGCTCGAGCGATGGCGCCTTGCAGTATGTCCCGTTATTTTGTTGTTGTTACTGTTGTCCTTCTACTTTCTACTGAGCCCGTGTGCGTCTCTGGAGTCATTTGAAGGCCACGCTTACGATTTGTGCATTTTGCACATGTCCTCAGTTATCCTTGCATACTTTCAGGATGATTTCGATTTATAGTCTTAATAATAATTATTATTAATTGTTTTCTCAGTCATATTAAATAGCAAAAATACTTTAGTTTTCGCTGGCTTTAAAGCTTGCATATCTTTAGTAGATAACAAATAAATTCGTTTTCGTGTCGATTTGAGCTTAAATTAAGTTCAAAGGACGCAGATAAAGTCAGCTGATGATGGGAGCTGCCGTGAAACAAAGGGGTTTGGGAGAAAGGGTCGGTTAATTTATGATCACCTCAGATCAGCTGGCAGCGCTGCATGCAACACATACATAATTAGTTACCACTCAATCTGCCACACGATCATCATCATCATTTTGCCGAGGTCTATCACCGATCGCGTGCGTGAGTATCGTGCCGGTGCCGCCCCAGTCTCAATCTCATTCGCTCGAAACGGATACGGATGCATCATAAACATAACGCCGAACCGTCAGTTCGTCGCGTCGTTTCATTTCCACGCCCAAATGCACAACAATAACAAATTTTACAGAGGCGCATTTGGCGTTCGTTTATCTCAGTTTCAATTAAACCTAATTTTGTTCGTGTTGTAATTAAGGTGTTGCCGCAAATAAATCGCAAATTCATCAACAAACCGCAGCAATGTGCATAAAAAGTGATTCATACAAATCCGTATCGGATTTTAAGTGAAAATGCCGTGAATATCAGTGAAAGAGTTAGACATACATATTCGGAGATAGCTTGTGACTAAAAGTTAACTTGAAATACTTAAAATTAGTAAACCAAAATGGCGCAAAATCTAACTGTTGTTGTCGGCGAATGCGGCAAGACAAACGAAGCCGCAGCAGCAGCTGCGGCAGAGGCAGAGACGTCGGTTGTCAATTTTAGGCCGAAGGATACAAACGGCTGGAAGGATTACAAAAAACTCAAGACTTACCTTATACTAAAGGAACAGCAAAACGAAAAGGTAATCGAGCAGATCTCCCACTAAAAAGGAAGTTAATCAAAACGTATCCTTAAAGCTAAAAGGTTTTCTTTTACTGAATGAAATTGTTTTATTATAGCTAGATACTTATTTTAAGCACGACTTACAGATACCCTCTAACCTAATATGACTGTGATATTAATTTTTATTAAATTATCAATATTTATTTATCTGTGAAACAGGTTTTTGTTCAAGAACCTGCTCTTTTTGGGAAACATTCATCTAGATTTATCGTTAAAGAAATTTAGTTAGTAATTGCCAACGGTTCCCATTAAAATGCCATGAATATTTATATCAATTAGCTACTCAATTCAATTATTTAGTTCGTGTTAAAAAAAAAAAACTGATGTCAGATAACTCTGAGAACGGAAACACTTGATTGGGAACTTCCTATAACAATGTGCGATTAGGAAAATGCACTGCAAAGCTTGCACATTATCATATTTGCCGCATCAAATTAATACAATTAATACTAAACGTTTGCAGATAACGCTTTAATTGTTAATAGCGCTATTTATGCTACAAGTAATTAATCACGGATCGGTTTACTTCCGCCACGGATTGACAATTGTGGCATGGGCAGCTTAAGATTGTTCGAGCTGTTCGATCTCTCACTTAACCCAAGGCGATAAAATGCGCTCAATAAGTCAATCAATCAATCAATATTGACCTAAATTGCAACAAGTAAATTTATTGTGTTCGGACATCAATGCATATTAATCAAATAAATAAATAAATAAATGCATAGAACATGTTTTGTTGGCATTGAGAATTGCAAAAATAATTCAAATTCGGCTTGAGAACTTGCTAAACAATGCATGGATAAATTTACAGCCTATAATAGAAAACAGATATAAGAGTGTTCGGTTCGGGAGTGCCCGACTAGAAGTTACCCTCACTTCTCGTCCCCTCACTTGGCAAATTATATCTTATATATGATTCTACACATGATTCTACACACCAAATCGAAGATCTTCCCAGTTGTAAGCTATGCTTAAAATATTTATTTATCGACCTAACAATATCAGTATTGTTGAGTGTATTTTTCAGATTTCAAGCTTTTGTTTATACAGACAAACAGACGGACGAGTACATCGACTCAATAGCTCGTAGCCTTGATCAGGAATATATATAATTTAATCTGAACGTTATGACAATTGGAAACAATTGAATTTACCTATTAACTGAGATCTTTATGCTATGTACTCTGGCAAATTGAGTAAGTTGGGGTAAAAACGGATAAGTGTGTTTAAACTAGGGATACATTTTGGATAATATATATACTAGACCAAGTTCGCCCATCTAACTATATGTGATAGTTCGTAGTGAAGAAAATAAAGCTGTGATTCTGCTTAGAGTCGTGAAGGGTTGCAATTACCTTTTAGGTATGACCGCAAGAATAATCATGGCCCCGGCAAACGTGCATCTTTCGCTGTCTCGCTCGCACTGGCCATAATTAAGAGGCACACAGACAAAAGGCAAACAATGAAACAAGAGGTGAAAGAAATGTTATAACCAGAAAGAGAACAGAAAAAAAGCCTCTTCATATAAAGTTATTAAACGGTCATGACCCCCATTTTCAAAATGCTTATCAACGGCAACAACAACAGCAACAACAGCAACATGGAAAGCGAAACAACAGCAAAAAGCAAACAGACGGTAAAGTTGTTGAAGAGGGGGAGTGTCGGTGGGTTGGGGAGGCAGCAAATTAAGCAGGCGAACATGAAAAACGAGCATTAAAAACTCGCACGAAAAATGACGAGCACGTTCTTAGATGAAAGCGGAGGAGGGTGGGTTGCGGGAGACGGTGCCGCCGACAGAAGCCAATGAGGCAGGCGACGCCATTTGACCGTTCGGCGTCGGATCAATAAATATGGATGACTTGACGCTGTCCAGATTGATGTGTGTGCACACACACACACACACACACACATACGAGACACATACGTGTGTGTGTGTGCATATCCATGAAATGACAGGCCCGGACGAGTTGTGCAATAAAAATGCGCGCCTATCAATGTCAAAAAATCTGACACACAATGGAATAAGAAAAGTAAACAAACAATTAAATTGCTTAGTGCCTAATAAAATAAATGAATGCCGGCTGCGTTTGCGTGTTTGTCTTAACCAGATACGACTGGAAACAGCGGACAGCTGCCCAGCTACGAATCTGTCTGTCCGTCTGTCTGTCTGTGTGTCTGACCGTCTGTCTGTCTGCATTGAGACATGTACATACACGCTTGGCACAGATACAATTTGAGTGGAGGATTTGCGAACAAATATGCGGGGTAAATAAATATATATGCACATATCTAGAGAGTTAGATGGATAGATAGATAGATATGTATCTATAAGAGCTACTTGGGCGTATACGTAATATATTAAATAGCTTTTGCCATTTGTTGATGGACAGCCCATGCGAATTCATTTGGCCCAAGCATGCAGAGGGTATTAGTGTGTGGGATGGCCAAGAGGAGGGGGCTCGCGTGTGTGCCTAAATTATAGAGCTCTCTCTCTCTCTCTCTCTCTCTCTCTCTGTCTCTCTCTATCTTGTGTTTAATAATAATCTATAAAGTAGATCTGCAAGAGATCATGTTGAGAAATGTTTCACACCTTTGACTAAATCTAAGTAAGCATTTCGAGATTCTTAATCTTATTCAAAGACATTTATTAAGAATAATTAAGATCGTGTTTCAGCTCTCTTGAGTTGTGGCCGGGTTCTATATAAATATTTCGTCGATTTTGATAATTCCATTTACAACTGCGGAAAATTGGCGGAACTATTCAATTCACTAAATTGACATTGAATGTTGATTCCAACTTTGGGGCTTAAACTGCGATGGACCAAGGTTGGAAAATAGCTGGAAAATTGTCGTAAACACTTGAATAGGGCAAGGTTAGGAAATACTAGCTAAATATATAGAACAAATAATGCATAAGTAGGTCACACCAAGTTTCTTATGCTAGTTGACTGGTTCTACTTGCCCAGTTACATTAAGATTTCAAGATTTCATTTCGAGTTCACTGAAAAGAACAAAATAGATATTTCACTTTAGGGACATTAGCGTCTAGATAGCTGGGTTCATTCTGTTACGAGTTTTGACTGTTGTATGTGAAAATTCACAGCTGCGATAATTGATTTTAAATGGCCACACTCTCGTATTTGCATTTCACACTCGAATTGTGTGACTTTGAGGTTTATTTTAAAGCAGTGTACCCAGTCAAATGGAAAAGGGGCATATTGAAGCGGAGTATAAATATATATATATAGAATTTTATATCTAAAAGTTGAGTAGTCAGTTAGAAAGTGCTGTCTGGGCGTTGTGTAAGCTGTCGTCCAGCATCTCACTAAATCGAAATTCATAAGACATTGCATGAATAAGTTGCTTGGATCGGCTTTACTGTCTTGCCGCCTTTGAAGGCAGCTTAATGAGTGTGGCTTAAACTGATTAGCATTGATTATCGCCATGGCACTAACTCTTCGCCTGACCTGATCCCCACTAAAGTCTTCTCTCTCTCTCTCTCTCTCTTCATTGCAGGCCGCTCACACGCCGGAATCGCAGCGCTCTTACATGTTGCGAAAACGCTCGGCGCCGGCAACGGAACGTACGACCTTTGTGTGCTACACTTGCGGCACGGACACGCCCTCGTCGCAGCTGCGACTCGTCTATTGCTGCCCCAACACGGAACGTGAGCCCTACTATCCGTTCATCAAGACCATGAAGGTCTTCAAAAACGCTAGTCCCATCAGCCCGCAAGGTGAGTCAATCGGCCGCTCCGGCAGTTAAACAAATTGAACTCACAACCACTTTTTTGAATGCCTAGGCATGGTGCAAATCTGCGCCGGATGCAGCGAGAAGCACACCAGCCTGGCGGAAGGCGGCCTGCCTGTACCTGCTGCGTCCACTTCAGAGTCCGGAGCAGCGCCATCCTTGGAGTCCAGTTCGGCCATGTACAGCGCAAGCGGCCCCATCGCTGGCAACCATGTGACAACATTTGTGGGTCGCAATTCGCCGTCGGAAAAGTCGCTTGCCAATTCGGACTCCACGAGCAATGTGCGCTTTAAGGTGAGCCATTCTCTATTCCCGATATGGGTCTGCCACCAGGTGCAACAGCCGGTGATCCGGCTAAGAACCACATTTCCGACATTCCTATTGCCAGTTCGATTTGGTTTTGTCTCGGGCAAACAAATCGCGCTGCTTGTCAATAACAATTTGTAGCTTCGATTAGTTTTCCATTTTCTTCCATATATATGCATGTATAATTGTCGGTATGCGGGTGTGCGTGTGTGTGTGTGTATGTATAGTTGTAATGTCGTATCGCCCTGTGGGCATACATGGAAATTTACTAGCTGTCGATTACAGCAGGAATTAAGTGTATATATATATATAATGGCAGGCATATAGGAAAAGCGATTACACATCGTGTGGAAAAACAAATATAATCGCTGATTCCGGCCATGATCGACTGCCAACTACCCTAATCAATCATAAAATAATTATATAATTCAAGATAGTTTACTCATTATATAATTCAATCAATTGGTTGGTTGCTCATCATTTTCTTTAGTATTTTATAGATATTTGGGCTATTACTAGAAACTCTTATATGTTTAATCGAGGAGAAACAATTATTTTAATAGCATATCAGGATTCGTTTGTTTTTATAGAGTCTAGAGCCTGGTAGTATAGGGTATTTGAGACACACACAAATAAAGCCGCACATAATGCAATAAATGGAACCTAGCGTCTCGGACCGTGTCGCGCTAATGAGGGCAACTCTGGACGCGATAACACCTCGGAGACCTCTGCCCCCTGCTGATAACCGAACGAACCCGAGAGCATTCCAGAAAGGTGACGACCTGCCCCGTCGGGCAGAGAGACGGACAGCGAGACAGACAGCGAGACAGACAGATGGACAATTGGAATGGACAGACTAATGGTGGGACATGTTGAGTAATTCATTTGCATGCTGAAGGTCGGCGGCAGCGATATCAATTATGTAGAATATACGAGCTGTGCTCGGCGGAAAGAGCTGATAAGAACGGTGGGGCAGCTTCATTAGTTGACGCTTATCAGCGTGGTGCGTGGTCTGCGTGGCGATGGGCGTGGGCCGTCAGGCAAGGCAGGGGCCAGCCGAGCAAGTCGAGTGTCAACATGTTAACCAATTTGAGTCAAGAAATGTCAAGATTAGATTGGCCCAGCCGCATGCTCACGGCAGCTCCACATGGCCAGGGCGGGCGGATTGCGGTACCATTGCCCATGTGCGCTTTAATTACTGTTCAAGATCTGGGCGCGGTGGGGCAAATACTAAACGCAAATGCAAACAGTTCAAGAAAACAACACAAGCTAAACACGACACAAAAATTAAACGAATTATTGTATAAATAAACAAAATGCGAAACAGAACAAACAGAAAGAGCTATCAGAGAGAGAGAGGAAAAAGGCGGCTAACTTCGTAGAACCGTTGAATCGTATTATCGTAATACCCAAAGTGGGTAAACTTGGCCAAGTCGGCCTGTAGGCATCTGGCCCAAACCGGTTTAACACGGTTAGATATATGCCACAGTGTGTTTTGTTTGAACACGTTTATTTATAGCCAGCTTTTCGTTTCAAGTAGTTTATTTATTATTTTGTTATTTCTCTTTGGTTAAATACGTGTATTTAATGATTTAGTTCAGTTCAAATAGCGAGAACTCTTAACGACAACAACAATAACAATAAATCAATTAAGATTTTCTGTTTTGTTGCTTCTTAATTGATTGTTAATTCTTCGAATCTGACAATTTTTATAGTTGTCTCTTGGCTTTTTTGTCATAATTAATCTAGGCAACGTTTTTGCGTGCCAATCTGTGATCTTAGAAATTAAATCGATTTTATAATTGAAGCAGATTCTTCGTTCAGTTCTTTGAGGAAGTGCATTATGTATTGAGATAAGCTTTGCTAATATCTTACTCAATATATTGCGCATCCGATAAATTGTATATAAATGTATCTATATATATTATACCTATAGCTCTGTCTGTCTGTCTGTCCGACTGTAGTTTAGTAGGCTCTGTTCAATTACACAACTTATTCGTTTTGATTCTTCTGTGTTCCATTCAAATAATTTGAAATATGCGTTGAGTTCACTTAACGTTGTAAGAAAAGATATATCCGCGTGTTGAATTGAACTGAAAAGTTGCCAGAAAACCTAAGCTAGCACAACCGAGAGGGAAATGAGAAGATTTATGGCAAATGAGTGATTTTCCAACCGATTTACATATATTTCAAAGTATTTTGGTTAAGATATCTTAAAAAAACAAAGAAAGTGATATTGATATCAAATGTTGATAAAATATATACTTTTATAGCCTTGAAGAATCGCATACCGCAAACAGCCTTGACTAGGCTTTGTAGCCTGCCTCAAATATGGTAACATAACAAACATGCAAACATGTCACCTGTTGGGATTCTAAACAATTCAGTTTTCGGCTCTAGAGACTCCCTCACTCTCTCTCGCTCTCTCTATCTATTTCATTTGTTTGCTTCACGTGTCTCTGGCCATAAAAGCTACTTTGGGCGTGCAAATAATTGTTTAGCTGATCCAAAAAAAATATCTTTAAACAGGTGCCAGAGCGCATTGGAGAAACCTTTGGCCCAGTTAGCCGCAAAGCCAATGTGCTAGTGTGGGGCAATATATGCATCTAGACGATGATCCAACACACACACAGATACAAAATTAAATATAGATAAATGCAAATAACTGCCAGTTATCTATGGCAGTCAGCGCGTGCTCGTCTCCATACTTAACTATATATGTTAATTTCTGGCAATTGCAGTGCTGTGCAGGAGCAACTCCTACCGAAAGCCCCCGCGGTCTACTTTTTGGGGATGGTCTACAACCACACACACACACACACACACACACACATGCATAGCATTAAGCTCCCTCGCATTCAATTTCTTTTTGGCAGATAACAGATAATTAAAGTGTGATAATATATTGCGCAAACAGCTGCATGGCTTGTCATTCAAGTTGCGCAAATAGCAATAAACATAATGCTAAAATAAATATATAAACAAGCTCGCATACCTATTTATCTGACTATTTTAGTTAAGCGTTTGAGAAGCCAGCATGCGATTTGTTCCCCAGCTGACAATATTTCAATTTCATCACAATCTAAATATATATATGCACATATGAACCCATTGAAAATGGATTAAATAAAAGATACAAAACCCGTTGAACGAGTTGATTTTGGAAAATATGAAACATATTGAAATATAATTTCGCCTATATATCAATGTTTCATTTCCTACGTTGCCAAAAGGAGAAGGTTCATATTAAGGAATATACAAACTTACAGATAAAAGCTGGAGCGAGGGATCACTCGAAGTCGGCGAGTTTTTCTAGTATGTTTTGGTTATTTTATTATTATCCAATAAATGTAGTAGCATTGCATATTTGTTCACTGCATTAAACTCTTAAAGAAGATTTAAAAATGAGTGCTTATGTATGTCTGATCGTAGTTAATGATCGCATAACAAATTGGTTAACTCTCTTTTCGCTGTTAATGATAGCTCGCTTAATAAGCGTTCACTTCTTGTTGGCCATAATTTCTTTAATATCGGCTATTTCGTGTGTGGGCAATTTATTGCAGAATCGATGATAATGATTATGCTCACGCATTTGGAAGATTCTTTTGAGGGATCGGACACGTTTTTTTTTGTGCCACCGAAAACGCTCTGAAATCGTTTTCACGGGTAGTTTGCCTTTTATGGCAGCTGGGCTTTAATGGCACTTGATAACACACACACTCGTGCAGCTGAGCATTTTAAGTAAAGCGTATTATGGAAAAGCCCGAGGACTTTGGCACAAATTCCAATGCCAAGTCATTGTGAGGAAGGGAACGTACTTTACTAGACTTGCGGCGCCTACAACCAGTTCGAGGGTACTTCAGATTGAAAAGATTTCAAACGCAGTAGCAATTCGTGTTCGAGATCTTTAAATACGCACAGTGAAGCTAACTAGGAGTTACCCGGCGTTGCACAGTTTTTCGTAGATCGAAAAGAACCGAACTACCAAATAAACTTTATGCCTCAAATTAGTATGAAGCAGATCGGAACGATAAGAACTCCTACGATAGCATAAACTCTACACATATAATTTAGTAGATACGTTAACAGTAAAATAATCTGTTTATGTGGAAGAAATTTGGAATACGTTGCAGTCATATAAAGATCTCATTAGTTGATTTTCTATCGAATTGTGATTTATGTCACCCTATGAATATCAGTCATAAATGAAAATCCACAAATTGTAATTGAGTTCGATGTAGTTCGAGGGAAAACCAGTTTGGCCCAGTTAATGCGATTCGATTAAAGCAGCTGCACTGATAACACACAAATTGAAGCCTTCTATCGGAAAAGGTGCCTTACATTGAGTCCAAAGCAAGGTAATCATAATGCCAAGCTGATTAGAGTTTGTACTCGCAGGTTCGATTCCCATAAATGGTATAGGGGCCCGTATGCTGGTGCCGATAAGCGTGAACCGCTTCCAGGCGGTTGGGGAGCTTGATTTGAGTGGTGCCTCTTGAATGGAAAATCAATTGTTCGAAATATTAAATAAAATATGATAAGATAAGTTGCGTAGTGCGTCCCATGTTCCATGTGCGCTGTGCTGCTCCGTGTTTTTCTTGTCTAGCTCAATTTTATTTTTAGTATTCGCGCATATGTTCGTTTACGCTAACTGAATATACTCTAAACACTCTATTGCAGCCATACGAAACGAATTCCAACAACTCGAACTCAAACACGGCGCGCGACTTCAAGCAGATCCGACGCACCGACTCCAGGCCCAGTTCGCCCAGCTCTACACAGGGACATATCGAGAATGGCCATGCCCAGTACCCGTAATATGCTCTGCCTAAACAATATTGTGATCCACTTCTAACAGTTATATTTCTTTTGCTTACAGCTGCTCCATTTGCAAGGTGCTCTGCCCGTCCAATAAAATGGATTGGCTCTCCACCAGTGCCGAGCACATGAACTCCCATGCCATGCACTTTCCCTGCCTCAAGGCCAATGCCACCAGCAGCAGTAGCAACGGTCTTAGCAATAACAACAACAACAACAACACCAATAATAATAATAATAACAACAACAACGAGCTAAACAGCAATCGTGTGCTGGCTTGCAAGGATTGCATTAACTACTTAACCAGCCAGTGGGAGACAATGGATGCGGAGCGTGTACCGTTGGAGCACAGGAGGTCCCTTCGCATTACATCAATTAGCCAATTTGAGCCTAATGAACTACTCTTGCCTTGCAGATACAACATTCCCTCGCCGATGATGACCTCCAGTTCGCCAAATGGATCTCGCCATGGCGCCATGAGTACCTGCACTCCGCCCTCAACGCCATCCGTTTCCTCGTCAACCCCTGCCAGCACCTCAATCTACTGTTTCTTGTGTGGCCTGCATTCGGATCTAACGCTGGCCAGAATCCTGTATGGCAGCAAAGAGGTAAAAGGATGCTAATGCAATTCTCAAGAGAAAGAGAGAGAGAGAGAAAGAAGAGATTAATTAATTAAAATCGAAGTTTTAGACTAAGGTGTGGGGTCCATTTGAGTGTATTTTATGAAAACCGTTGCAACAATATCCTCCTTTTTACGCGAGAGGCGTACGAAGTACAGAAACGAATACCAACCAAGTCGATCTATTTGCTTAGTAATTTAGAATAGAAAGTAAAAGACGACAACACTTCGAGCCTTTATAGTAAGAATGGGGCGTTAAATTAGTTCAATCAGAAATATGTCACAAATATAATATTTTGCTGCTTTGCATATTTAAAATTGTGAACATCGAAAAGAGCTGGTTAAATTTGTATAAGCTCGAATTGTCTCAATAATATAATACGTTAAGATATTGCTAATAAGCAGGCATAAGCTTTAATTGTATCTATTAAGAATAAGTTAATGTCATTCAGTTTTCACTTAAATTGTTAAATGCCTACATGCATTCAAGTTTTTGAGGTTTATTTCCTAATACTATGTATTATTCATTAGAGGATAGTTCTACCTACATTCAGACGCGAAGAAACTAATCGTTATCATGTCGAGTACCTATCAGTTTAATTTTTGCCATGTTTAAAGCGTACGAAGAACGAATTTGAATATTGACCAATTGTATCGATGTGAGTTATATGACAATTTTATCAATATTAGGAGCTGATTTGGCCGTCTATGTAATAGCTGTAAGAAAAATATGTCTGAGCAGGGATATAGTTTACTCTATACGAGTAAAGATGTTTTCTTCTACAACTTGCACATTTCAGGACAGAATAATAGCATTATCCTAAGATCCCAATGTATATTAAATCAGATTTATGACAAGCCCCGTTTAAGGTATAATAGGTACTAGATGTACGCTAGCTTACTGTTAAGCCCCACGAATTATGCACAATTAGAAATATAGGTCTACTAGTTAAGATTAGATTACGAATCATACTCTCGATATAAATTGCAGTGTACATGCGCGAACTAATAATGCAGATAAAAGTATCAGTTAGTATGATGGGAAATAAGCTATTACGACCCGATGTTTCCCATAACACTCATGCGGAATTATAATATATGGAATGTAATGCAAGCTGCACGTTTCGCTTGGCTAGACGATTTATCAGTTTTGTTTCTATGTAATTAACTGTATGCACAAAGTATATTATTATACAATTGTAATCAATTTGGAATTAGCTTGTTAGAGATTAAAACATTAATGCACAATGTTAGTAGCAGGTTTATAAAAAGATTTTGTTTTGTTTTCACTTTGATTTACTAGAAATACGAATTACCCCTAGCGAAATGTGCATTTGAATTGAATTGTCGGATCTGTCATTACAATAACAAGCGAATAAAGTTCTTATCTTTATTGCTTTATGCAAAATAATTTGCTGAGCTAAATATTGTAACACACTTTTAACCATATGAATGTAAACTACTTATTATTATAGTTACAAACAGTACGAAACATATTTGTAAGCTGGATTTGATTGCCTCTAGCCAACTCACACACGAGACTCGAATTTTGCCTGGGTAACCTAAATATAAAGTACAAAATCAATCTCTTGTAAAGTGACGACTCTTGCATCTTACTTTCTAATATAGGGTAGAATATATATATACTTTTGTAATATACTGTACGGTCGACTAGCTTAAAGTGGACAAATGTTCTATTTAATCTCTTGGATTTAGCTAGCATATAAAATATGGTCTCATTACATATGCCCAAATATTTTAAGCACTAATTAACTATTTTACAATTGTGAGATATGTATGCATTTAATACATTAAGTAAATTTTAAGATTATATTAGGTTGTGGCAAAGCTCTCCAAGAATCAATTGATAAGCATCAGATACAAATGTTATGTTTATATTAGTTTATCGCATGTCTCTTGAAGCAACAATTTTATGATTACATCTGCTTTCTCCTCTGATACTATTTTTTTTTTATAGTCAGTGATATACTGAACCATCTCTTTCTTACTTCTCTTGCAGGGCTCGAGACCATATTTTCCACTGTTGCTGAAACACAACTCTTTGCCAAATGCTGAGCAGCTGAGAAACAATTCGGCTCTAGTCTGCACATTTTGTTATCATTCCATGTTGAATCAGTGGCGCAAGTGAGTCCTCCATAATTATTTGTAACCAAACAAGAATACATTTCAAGCAAACGGCAATTCCAGATATGAAGCTCAAAGTCCCAGCCTCAGTCCGGCGGATAGAAAGTACAATTGGCACGACTACAACTGTCATCTGTGCGGCATTCTGACTTACAGAAAGCGGGTGCGAGCTCTGCCTGTCAATGAATTCCCGTTCGTAAAGCATCAGAAGAGCGACGATGGACTCCTGCTGGAGAATGGTGAATACGCCGTGGTGTGTCTGGACTGCTATGAAAGCTTAAGGTAAATGCGGATTCTTGTCCTTAACTATGAGTGGATAACACTAAAACCTTTAACCATTTCAACAGGCAACAGGCGTCGCAGCATGATCGCTTCGGGGTGCCCATCTCTAGGCGGGCCTACAATTGGGTGCCCCAGCCGCCGCCGCCGGAGGACAGCCCCGATGCCGCAGTGGCGCGTTTGCCCTGCGGCGAACGCTCCGATCGTATTGTGAGTAAACTGTTTATGCCAATAGAGCCCTTTGTCATTCAACATGTAATCCCTTCAGCTGATGAGCAATGCGTTGAGGCCCATTCCAAGCAAGAAGACCACGTCGCCAAAGCAATACGAAAAGTCAAAAGAAGGTAAGCGCCCCGTTCTTCAGCTCTAGTTGGTAATCTGAACGCTTTTTAAGCGCTTCGAGGGGAAAGGTTCAAGTGAAACCCAACTCGCGTCAATAAACTTCAATTGGTTTCACTTAACTTTGTGCGCAAACCATTTCTTCAGCTCTGTAATAGTATTACCGCTAAGCGTTTCCATGAAACTGGCCCCCCAATTTGCCAAGTTTCCCTATTTGCCAAGCCCTTTTAAGTAGCTGCTAAGTTTATAGTTCAAATGCATTTGTTGGGAATCCCGGCTTGCACTTTGTGTGCTGGGAGTACATACCTAGCTGGCCAGAGAGCTCTGTATATAGTGTATATTTTAAACATTTTTAAACTTGCTTCTATCAACTTTAAAAGCCAAGCCTCATGAAAATCGGTTGAGTTTTGACTGATTTATGTGAACGGGAAGTTTTGACTTATGTCTATATACGAATTCTAGTGGTAAGATTTTGACATGAATTTCGACTAAAAAATATGTTGTCAGATTTGAATGCCAGATTATTATAGAGGGAAAACCATGGACAAAAAGCCAAGCCTCATGAAAATCGGTTGAGTTTTGACCGATTTATGTGAACGGGAAGTTTTGACTTATGTCTATATACGAATCCTAGGGAATGATTTTGACATGAATTTCGGCCAAAAAATAGGAAGTCAGGTTTTAATGCCAGATTATTATAGAGGGAAAACCATGGACAAAAAGCCAAGCCTCATGAAAATCCGTTGAGTTTTGACCGGTTTATGTGAACGGGAAGTTTTGACTTATGTCTATATACGAATCCTAGTGGTAAGATTTTGACATGAATTTCGACTAAAAAATATGTTGTCAGATTTGAATGCCAGATTATTATAGAGGGAAAACCATGGACAAAAAGCCAAGCCTCATGAAATCGGTTGAGTTTTGACCGATTTATGTGAACGGGAAGTTCTGACTTATGTCTATATACGAATCCTAGGGAATGATTTTGACATGAATTTCGGCCAAAAAATATGTTGTCAGATTTGAATGCCAGATTATTATAGAGGGAAAACCATGGACAAAAAGCCAAGCCTCATGAAAATCGGTTGAGTTTTGACCGATTTATGTGAACGGGAAGTTTTGACTTATGTCTATATACGAATCCTAGGGAATGATTTTGACATGAATTTCGGCCAAAAAATATGTTGTCAGATTTGAATGCCAGATTATTATAGAGGGAAAACCATGGACAAAAAGCCAAGCCTCATGAAAATCGGTTGAGTTTTGACCGATTTATGTGAACGGGAAGTTTTGACTTATGTCTATATACGAATCCTAGGGAATGATTTTGACATGAATTTCGGCCAAAAAATAGGAAGTCAGATTTGAATGCCAGATTATTATAGAGGGAAAACCATGGACAAAAAGCCAAGCCTCATGAAAATCCGTTGAGTTTTGACCGGTTTATGTGAACGGGAAGTTTTGACTTATGTCTATATACGAATTCTAGTGGTAAGATTTTGACATGAATTTCGACTAAAAAATATGTTGTCAGATTTGAATGCCAGATTATTATAGAGGGAAAACCATGGACAAAAAGCCAAGCCTCATGAAATCGGTTGAGTTTTGACCGATTTATGTGAACGGGAAGTTCTGACTTATGTCTATATACGAATATTAGGGAATGATTTTGACATGAATTTCGGCCAAAAAATATGAAGTCAGGTTTAAATGCCAGATTATTATAGAGGGAAAACCATGGACAAAAAGCCAAGCCTCATGAAAATCGGTTGAGTTTTGACCGATTTATGTGAACGGGAAGTTTTGACTTATGTCTATATACGAATCCTAGGGAATGATTTTGACATGAATTTCGGCCAAAAAATATGTTGTCAGATTTGAATGCCAGATTATTATAGAGGGAAAACCATGGACAAAAAGCCAAGCCTCATGAAAATCGGTTGAGTTTTGACCGATTTATGTGAACGGGAAGTTTTGACTTATGTCTATATACGAATCCTAGGGAATGATTTTGACATGAATTTCGGCCAAAAAATAGGAAGTCAGATTTGAATGCCAGATTATTATAGAGGGAAAACCATGGACAAAAAGCCAAGCCTCATGAAAATCCGTTGAGTTTTGACCGGTTTATGTGAACGGGAAGTTTTGACTTATGTCTATATACGAATCCTAGTGGTAATATTTTGACATGAATTTCGACTAAAAAATATGTTGTCAGATTTGAATGCCAGATTATTATAGAGGGAAAACCATGGACAAAAAGCCAAGCCTCATGAAAATCGGTTGAGTTTTGACCGATTTATGTGAACGGGAAGTTTTGACTTATGTCTATATACGAATTCTAGTGGTAAGATTTTGACATGAATTTCGACTAAAAAATATGTTGTCAGATTTGAATGCCAGATTATTATAGAGGGAAAACCATGGACAAAAAGCCAAGCCTCATGAAAATCGGTTGAGTTTTGACCGATTTATGTGAACGGGAAGTTTTGACTTATGTCTATATACGAATCCTAGGGAATGATTTTGACATGAATTTCGGCCAAAAAATATGTTGTCAGATTTGAATGCCAGATTATTATAGAGGGAAAACCATGGACAAAAAGCCAAGCCTCATGAAAATCGGTTGAGTTTTGACCGGTTTATGTGAACGGGAAGTTTTGACTTATGTCTATATACGAATCCTAGTGGTAAGATTTTGACATGAATTTCGACTAAAAAATATGTTGTCAGATTTGAATGCCAGATTATTATAGAGGGAAAACCATGGACAAAAAGCCAAGCCTCATGAAAATCGGTTGAGTTTTGACCGATTTATGTGAACGGGAAGTTTTGACTTATGTCTATATACGAATCCTAGGGAATGATTTTGACATGAATTTCGGCCAAAAAATATGTTGTCAGATTTGAATGCCAGATTATTAAAGAGGGAAAACCATGGACAAAAATCCAAGCCTCATGAAAATCGGTTGAGTTTTGACCGGTTTATGTGAACGGGAAGTTTTGACTTATGTCTATATACGAATCCTAGGGAATGATTTTGACATGAATTTCGGCCAAAAAATATGTTGTCAGATTTGAATGCCAGATTATTATAGAGGGAAAACCATGGACAAAAAGCCAAGCCTCATGAAAATCGGTTGAGTTTTGACCGATTTATGTGAACGGGAAGTTTTGACTTATGTCTATATACGAATCCTAGGGAATGATTTTGACATGAATTTCGGCCAAAAAATATGTTGTCAGATTTGAATGCCAGATTATTATAGAGGGAAAACCATGGACAAAAATCCAAGCCTCATGAAAATCGGTTGAGTTTTGACCGATTTATGTGAACGGGAAGTTCTGACTTATGTCTATATACGAATATTAGGGAATGATTTTGACATGAATTTCGGCCAAAAAATATGAAGTCAGGTTTAAATGCCAGATTATTATAGAGGGAAAACCATGGACAAAAAGCCAAGCCTCATGAAAATCGGTTGAGTTTTGACCGATTTATGTGAACGGGAAGTTTTGACTTATGTCTATATACGAATCCTAGGGAATGATTTTGACATGAATTTCGGCCAAAAAATATGTTGTCAGATTTGAATGCCAGATTATTATAGAGGGAAAACCATGGACAAAAAGCCAAGCCTCATGAAAATCGGTTGAGTTTTGACCGATTTATGTGAACGGGAAGTTTTGACTTATGTCTATATACGAATCCTAGGGAATGATTTTGACATGAATTTCGGCCAAAAAATATGTTGTCAGATTTGAATGCCAGATTATTATAGAGGGAAAACCATGGACAAAAAGCCAAGCCTCATGAAAATCGGTTGAGTTTTGACCGATTTATGTGAACGGGAAGTTTTGACTTATGTCTATATACGAATCCTAGGGAATGATTTTGACATGAATTTCGGCCAAAAAATATGTTGTCAGATTTGAATGCCAGATTATTATAGAGGGAAAACCATGGACAAAAAGCCAAGCCTCATGAAAATCGGTTGAGTTTTGACCGATTTATGTGAACGGGAAGTTTTGACTTATGTCTATATACGAATCCTAGGGAATGATTTTGACATGAATTTCGGCCAAAAAATATGTTGTCAGATTTGAATGCCAGATTATTATAGAGGGAAAACCATGGACAAAAAGCCAAGCCTCATGAAAATCGGTTGAGTTTTGACCGATTTATGTGAACGGGAAGTTTTGACTTATGTCTATATACGAATCCTAGGGAATGATTTTGACATGAATTTCGGCCAAAAAATAGGAAGTCAGATTTGAATGCCAGATTATTATAGAGGGAAAACCATGGACAAAAAGCCAAGCCTCATGAAAATCGGTTGAGTTTTGACCGATTTATGTGAACGGGAAGTTTTGACTTATGTCTATATACGAATCCTAGGGAATGATTTTGACATGAATTTCGGCCAAAAAATATGTTGTCAGATTTGAATGCCAGATTATTATAGAGGGAAAACCATGGACAAAAAGCCAAGCCTCATGAAAATCGGTTGAGTTTTGACCGATTTATGTGAACGGGAAGTTTTGACTTATGTCTATATACGAATCCTAGGGAATGATTTTGACATGAATTTCGGGCAAAAAATATGAAGTCAGGTTTGAATGCCAGATTATTATAGAGGGGAAACCATGGACAAAAAGCCAAGCCTCATGAAAATCGGTTGAGTTTTGACCGATTTATGTGAACGGGAAGTTTTGACTTATGTCTATATACGAATCCTAGGGAATGATTTTGACATTAATTTCGGCCAATTTCTATTTGAAAGAAACATACAGATCTTCTTTGATCATTGTCTGAGCGAGTTCGTGTGAGGATCAGTGACCACTTCGTTCTGTGTCAGAGGACCTAGACGATCTAGCCGGGAATGTAAGCACTCTGATGGGATTAAGAGTCGCAGGAACCAGGCGCTTCTCTGTGATGGGGTCAGGTTTCGAAAACAAAAAATTCCTTTAATACATTTCTGATTTTTCGCTTCTCAGTATAACA